ACTTTTAAACATTTCTATTATAGTGTTGCTATGATAGTTTCATTTCATCAATTAATATTATAATAAATTAATAACCTATAAATAATTGTAAATCAGTCTCTTATAATTAAAGTCATAATTTTTCTAATACAACCTTTCAAGTAGTTATAAGTGACTTTGTAGGGAACACTTTGGCTCAATTGTTGCCGCTGAATTTGTTTTAGTCTGCATACTAGTTGGAAGAAAATCTTAAAATAAGTGTGAAGAAAAGAAACGCTTCTGACCTAGTGTAGAATAACCAATATTTAAGCTAACCTTTTCTTTTAACTGTTATTAGAAAGTTCCAGTCTGGCTCTAAAAATTTTATCATGGTCGAAAATTGCTTGTTATATGAAAAATGGAGAATTTTTTTTTTGAAGTGGACGACAATAAATTTTTTCGTGTAACGTTTATATTGAATGACACTTGATCTGCAATGTCCCGCGACTATTAGACGTAAAAAGAGACAATCGGCAAAAAACTGCACGAAAGTCGCACGACTTGCGGTTTTGGAAGGAGATCGTGACACGACAAAATATTCTTGTGTTAATCAAAAGCACTTAATTGGAAACATGATTTAATAAAACACATTTTTTGATCTTGAAAGAAACATAAATCATTATAGAATCAATATTTATTAATTGGTAGTATTCATTCATGTTCACCTTATTGGGTTAGTTTGGTTGGTGAACATGAGATTTCTTGGCAACTTTAGAAAATAATTCATAAATCGTAAATTTCTTTTCACCGGAATAATAATGTACATTAAGATATATATACATTTTACTGTGCATTATGCAAGAATTAAAATTACATTTATACTAAATAACAATATAAATTGTGTAAGGAATTAAAACTTATATTTTCCTTCGCCAGAATAATAACATACATCATGCAAAGAATTTATGATTTACATTTTATGGGGTTTTCCTTCGCCATAATAACAACATCATCGTGTAAGGAATTTGATACATTTCCAAATGTACACTCGGTGGACAAAAGTTTGCATCCAAAATTTCTTTCAAAATTATACTAATTAAAATATTATAACCTTTATATCATTCGAAAGCTCTCGTTCTTGATAATATGTTCGTGATATCAAAATTTGAAATTTTATATGAAAAAAGATAAAAAATAAAAAAACAATGTAAAATAACAAAATATTAATAGATAAAAAAAGCTTACTCTTATATTTCAAAAAAAAAAAAATATTGATTGCAATGCAATATTCAATTCTATGAGGGAATACTGTCAATTAAATTCAAGTTCACAGTTCTTTCCCATTGGTTTAAAAACAAAAAAATATCAATATTTTCGCTATTTTTACATTGTTTTTTATTTTTTCATATAAAACTTCAAAATTTGATATCACGAACATATTATCAAGAACAAAAGCTTTCGAATGATATAAAGGTTATAATATTTTAATTAGTATAATTTTGGGAAAGAAATTTTGTCCGCCATGGGTATTTAATTTGATAAAGTTTACATTATGTACATTTGAAAATTTATTCCGTACTATTATAATTACATATTAATATTGTAAATAAATTCTTACATATTCCGTACATACTTCAAGTAATAATAATTAAAATAATTCTATTTTTGATAAGAGATAACAATAAATCTTATCTTATCTCATGGATTTTATTAAAATAACACTACACTATTAAGAACTATCAAATAGCACTTTTTAAATCCCAACTAAATCATAACCATCTTCGACTTGCATAACCAATTGAATAAAAGATACCAACTCTAATGACATCCAATTTATCCATTGCTCGATAAATCTACAAGATTACAATAAAATGTATCTTATCATAAAAATTAACTAACTTTTTTAAAGAAAGATATAAAAAATTTAGATAATCAACATGATAATGGTGGCAATTACACAGCACAGGGAAAACTATTAACCGCGTATTTTCCGCAAAAATTGCCAATTTTAAATTTCTAAACTTACTTTAAAGTTTGAAAGAAAATGACTTTTTTATTAATTTGTAAAATTTATATGCAGTTTGATCTTATTTCCCCTCGAGGAAAGCATCAAGTGAAGCTAGTTTCTCAAATATCAAAATTATACCCATAAGCTCCGTTCTCTGATCGGAAACATAAAGTCAGTACCGAACCGTTAGACAAATTCCAATCATACTTACTTGTGGACGAAAAAGTTCTCAACTTTCAATAATTGTTTGAAGAAGCAATAATAACTTCTATTCCCATTCGCATTCCTGTGAACTAGCGCTCACGCTATTGAAGGTAAAAAAAATGGCCGTAAAAAATATATTCAACATGTAATCCTGTAAATAGATATATGTGGAAATAGAGATGGCAGCTAACCGGTTTTAAAATGAACTGCGGTTATTTTCTTTCATAATGAACTTTTTAAAGATACTAATATTAGGAAGTGATGCTCTTACTGCATAATAATAATTCTGCCCGTCCTAAAAACAAATTCCGCATGCATACTGTGCATTAAAAAATTATCCTTTTTCAAAAAAAAACGAATTTACAATGACACGACCATTAAATAATTGTTGTTGTGATTATTTGATTGTGATTTTTTATTTATTCCTATTACAAAATAGGAATTCTGAATATTTAATATTTAAGTTACACCACCGTTAATATTACTATTACGTAAAATAAAGCATATCCGTGATTTATAATAGCAACATATCTTTGACAGAAAAGAGCTTTAAGGTTTTTTAAATGTGCAGGAAAACGCGAGGTACATAAGTAAATTATTATTATTATTATTATTTATAATAGTGTTTTCTGTTTTAAGTTCCGTGATTTCTGCGGCATTCTGCGCTATGCAGAAAATCATAGTCTCTGGCAAAATGGATATCGTTTCTAAGCCAAAAATCTTCATTACATGCATATTAACTCCAAAGTCATTTTAGACATTTTCTCATTTCTATTGAAAAAGCCCATATAAATAAAGTAGATCATTGGAAGTTCATTCATTTTATTTCAAAAACTTAAATTCTTTGTGTCTTCTTCGCCTTGTGGTAACAGTAAACCATAAAAAAGTCGCCCATTATAGGTTTATTAAGCCAAAACTGGGTATCATTTATCTGTAAATAATATGAACCTGTATCTATATTTTTTGTTATAAATCAACATTTAGTTACTATATACTTTAAAACTTTACTTTGACTTACGTTTTCTATATATAATTTAGAATATTCTGAATACAAAAATGTCACCACTAATAATTTACATATTTATGTCGCACCGAGTCCTATCCTTGAACAGTCAATATATATATAATTCAGATATAAAGGGATGAATTTATTGGATAAGCCCATTAATCCATAAAAAGTTAAATGATAAATTAGTTCAAATTAAATTCTTATTCAGTAAATAATAAAAACACTCGTTATTAATCTTAATAATCGTGCATTCTTATCCCCAATTTCATTTGAAATTTTATTGAAAAATAAATTTCCTTGAGGGATTTTTTTTTATGTTTGACAATTTACTTGTATTTTGATAACTAGTTTAGTTCCAGTAACTTCTTGAATGTTTAGATGTTTGTTGGAGATCCATTGTTTCTACTTTTTTGATCAATGGCTTCTGAATAATAACTTCTCTTATCTTGTAATTTTTTTATTATTGTTATCCTTTTCCTCCTTCTCGATCTTGATCTTGATCATCTCATCATCTTGTCCTTGTGTTTTTTTTCCGATCGTTAATTGATTCTAATAATCAGTGTACTCGCGTAAAATACGACACATGAAGTCGCGCATACATCGACTTGGATGAAATTCACGTCATTAAATATCAACTGTAAATTAAACCTAATCAATTTATGTTTGTTCGATGTGCTAAATAGACAGAGCTCAAAAATAATTTTCCATTGATAAAAATCAAAATTCTGAACAAATTAACCGCATAATTGATTCTTCTGGCGAAGCTTTTAATGGAAATCGTAGATGAATTAAATGTTAGAAATCAAACATAAAAATTAATTGAAGGAAAGTTGGATTTATAACTATTACTACTTTCTAATAAAATTTAATTGACAAGCAAATGAAAGACACTATAGAAAATTTCCAATAGATAATTGAAAAAAAATTTTTTTGTAGGGGATCGACCAATATGTATATTTAAAAAAAAATTTTTTCCTGTGCCTTAAAAATCAAATTTTCCGTGTTTATTAAAAACTCACACTTGTATTTTGTCCCATCATCAAAACAATTAAGGGAATGGATTTTTATGAGAATGCAAGGTGATAAGAATATGTGTGTAATAATAAATGATTGGCACAAACATTCTTATTTTTGGATTCTTTATAACGATAAAAATAAAGAAGCTCTGAAAATATATAAATAGAGTAAAAAATACTCAACTGATTATTTTTTTTCTTTACCGAAGAAAAAAATTCTTAAAATTCTAAAACTTTAAAACCCTTTTAACACTTTTAACTTTATATATTTTAAAATACTATTAATCGAAAGTTTATATCCCAAATATATTCTTTGGAAAATTATCCGTTAAAGGGTTGATTGATATTAATAATATTAATAATATTATATAATAAAAATAATAAAAATCACTTGGCCGTGTTTAACAATTATTTAATAAACTAATATTATTGGTATTATTTAAGAGCATTAACAAATCACTGGTGACGACGCGTCAACTCAAAAACATCTAAAATAATTATAACCGTCAAATACACTATTTCACAAAAAATGTCGCCACCCAATCAACAAATTCAGGATGAACAGCAACAAAATTGTTATTGTTATTATGATGATCAGTTTCAACATTCTGCCCAGCAACTTCAGCAACAACTCCAACAAGGACAACTTTGGAGTCACGTGCAACAACAGCAACAGGCTCAAAATTCCGGTCAACAACACATTTATATGCAACGAATTAATAATCCAACCCAGCAATTTCTTCAACAACAAACTCAAAATCTTGATCAAGAAATTATTGCATTTGATGATTCATTATCAATTACTGCAACAAATTCACCATTTCAAAAAATGACTAATATCAACAACAATAACATACTGGCAGCGCAATATTTGCCACCACAACCACCACAGCAACACTGCCAATTAGTTTATGCTAAAAACAACTCGCATACTTCACATTCAATTAATAACAACATCAATGGTTTAAATAATCCCGATGTAAATTTAAATGTTCCTTCATTAAATTGTGGAAACAAGAATGAAGATCTTTTTTCAGCCTATTCTTATCATGCAATGAAGATTAGTCAGCATCATTTTGAATTAGAACAAATTATCAATACGTTATGGCATAGAGTTAATTATTACTAACCTCATTTTTTTATTTTTTTTATTTTACTATTTTCTATTTTTTTTTTTCTATTGTGGTTGGCTCAGTCTAAAGAACCACATATTGCTGCGCCATAAGGCTAAATTTCAAAAAAAAATAGCAATTTTGTAATTCGTTCAAAAATGTAATAAAAATTTTTTAAAAAAAATAGGACTTCACGTATTTTAGTTATGAAAATTATTTCCTACCACCAAATTTAGATACGATAGTCATAGGCTAGTCTAAATCTAGTAGTATTTTCCTAAATTTAGTAATGATCTAGTGGCCAAAAATTTCTCGTGAAGAATGGAAATAATTTTTTTGAGAAAATCTTATAACTAAAGACCTATTCTATCAACTAATAACGTTATTTTTTTAAAAGATAGGGCAGAAGGTGACTTATATACTTTTAAAATTTATGCAAAATTTAGGAGGTCTTTTAGAATATACAAAAATGAAAATTTCGAACATTCAACAACTCACAATATATTTTTTCTTTTATATCCTTTATCTTGTATAAAGGTTAATAATGAATTTTTCGAATGCTTATATATACGCTCGGCTGTCGCATATACTTACTCGATTGTATTCAAAATTTAAACCACAATTTACTTTGAGGTTATTTTATTAGCTTTGGTATCTTTGGTATATATAGCCTTAATTCAGGAACTTTACCCTTACAATTAATATATTTATTTATTTATAATAAAATAAAAAGTTTGCAAAAATCATTGTATGAGCATGGATTAAATTATTACCGGGAACATAGTAAAAGAATTAAACGTAAAAGAGCAACCTCATCATTTAGCATCAGCAGCCCTGGCTATAATCAACAACAACTTATAGATTATCCACTATCTGCACCAACACCACTTGGCACTCAAGGATGGATGATTCGTTATGATTATAAATTGGCTGTTTTTGCTGAATTTCGTCAAGAACTGGATGCCGCTTTAAAGTATTTATCTGGTTGTTGAACATATAATATCAAACATCAATAAATAATAATTTTTTTTATTATTTGTAAAAATAGTTATTATGAATCAGCTTATAATCTTCTCACGGATCTTTTCTCCCCTGAATCTGTCATCTCACCAGGAGCTCCTGGCCTAACAATTCGTAGTAAACGTTGGGAAGAAGCAAGAATTTTGACAGATTGTATTAACGTTAAGGTTAATATTAATATTATCCTTTTTTAAAAAAAGGTATTTTGTTTTGAAAAAGACGTTCATTTATTTACTAAAAAAATTTAAATAGATTTGTAAAATAAGTATTCTCATGGATTCACCTTTGGGTGCCTTGGCTCAATTAAACAAACATGTGAAAACATTTAAACAAATATGTAATAAGTTAGGAATAGGAGAAGATGACACATTTGAGTATTGGTCATGGTTGTCTAAACAATATCGTGTATTTGGTGAAATAATAGAAGTTGCAACAAGATCTGGTTTTATCATACAAGATGCATCAAAACTGTCTCACTCTATTTCAGCACCATCACTGTCTGCAGATTATCGTTACTCTTTAAGCAGTAACAATAATCCAAACTTTGGTGTAAATCCAACCATGGTTTTGCAACATCCTGGTTTCTATTATTATTTGGCAGCCAAATATAATTCTATCAAAAGACAAAAATTTTTAGATATAGAAAAGGTTAGGAAAAAATACATTTATTATTTAATTCCTTTTTTATAAATAAATATAACAATGAATTATTTCTCCTCCTCAAAAAACTAGTCGATACATGAAGGGATAGACGTTGTTGCAAAGATACCAGATTCTATATTAGAAGCTGAACGGATGCTTGATCATTCAGGGTTAACAATTGAACTTTTAACAAAGAGTTACGAACAATTTAAAAAACAGAAACCCGGTCGTATGACTTATTATCTTGCTTCCGAAATTGCAGAAACTTATTTTGAATCTGGGAAATATGATATGGCAATAAAGTATATTATATATATATATATATATTTACGTATGATTTTAATTTATAAATAATAAAATGACAACAGTTTTTTTCTTTTTTTTTAGATTTTTTGAAAGAATTGCTAAAACATATCGTAAAGAAGGTTGGCATACTATTTTAGAATCAATTCTACAATTATCCTTGAGGTGTGCAAAAGTTCTTGGTAATTGGGAAGATGTTGTCAAATATTTGATTGAACTTTTATCAGACCGTAAGTATAAAATAGATATATATAATAGATCATATGAAATATAAAATTTTTTTAAATTAAATTTATGATTTTTATGATTGTTAGAATTTATTATGGATGAACAAAAAAGAACTGAAATTCAAAATGAGTTAACAAATATTATTTTTCGTGTGAGTTATTTATTATTCAAAAGTATTTAATAATAGTCATATTATGTCATATTTATTATTTATTTTTTCTTTCCTTTATAATATAATATAATATAATATAATAATAATAATAATAATATAGAATGAGATAGAGAATCTTGGTAATATTAAGCCAGTTATTCTTAATATGAATGAAACAAGTCCATTTTGTATCCTTACAAATTTGTGCGCAAAAAAATTATACAAGAATTTTATAAAAAGGTTGCCATTTTATAAAATATTATTATCTTAACAAATTTTCTGCTACTTTATTAAATTAATTGATATCTAGTAACATGTCATGTTCAATTCAAACAATCCATGGCTTTTGTTGGTGAACCCACTTTATTTCAAGTCACTATAACTACATCACCTGATTCTCCTCCTTTGCCTTTACGGTTTTCATTCATACGCTTCACATTTAGTGACGCTCATTTTAATCATTATTTAAAGGATAAATCGCATGACGATGAGGAAATTGATGACTCTAAGATTCAATTGATAGATTGTAAAGATTGTTCCTGGGAAGAGGTTGAAGGTGGTGAAGGTTATGCATGGGTGAAAGATGTGAAACTTATTTTTCAAAAAGGTGTAACAAGAGTTTTCGAAGGCATAATAACGCCAAAAGAGAGTGGTGAATCTCATGTAAATGATGAAATATTAATTTTGCATCATATAAAATTTTTAATTATATTAATATGATTTGATTTATATTTTTTTTTTCAAGCTTCAAGTTGTTACACTTGGAATTTTAAATACTAAATGGAGAATCGAACTCCGTTTTGATTTAAGTGGACAACGTGAAACCCAATCAAGACGTAAATGGCTTATAAAAACCGGTAAGAGATTTATTGATTGATTTATCTATACCTTTTTTTAAAAAAGAATAGTAATTGAATTTATTTATTTATTTTTAGCTACTGTACCAACATTTAAAAATATTAAAGAGCAAAATATATTAAAGTGAATAATTTTTATTTCATTTAAAGGAAATTTTTGTAAAAAAAATATTTTTTTAATTGCTAATAACCCATTCTTTTTTCTAGAGTGACAAAAAAACCACCCAAATTAGAAATCAAAGCAAACTTTTCCAATCCAGTTTTATTAGATGAGTATTATCCAATCGAACTTGTTGTCACTAACTTGGAATCAGAAGATGTTAAGGCATTTATGAATATTGATATAATTAATGAGTCAAAAGGTTTTTTTTTTTTTTTTTGAATAAAAAAAAGTTTTTAAAATATTAAAAATTAATAATAAATCAATGCGTTAATTTTTGATTATTATTATTTAGATTCAGAAGATTCTGTTAAGCTAGATCCTGCAAGCAATGGATTAAATAGTTTGAAAGATATTGATCTTGATATAATACCTGCAGGTCAATCTTGTGTAAAAACCATTTATATTATTGGAAAAAAGACTATAAATTTTAGAACATTACATTTAGTTGTAAGTATCAAACTGTTTTATAAAGTTTTCTAAAGATATATATAATAATAATAATATTCATTATTAATGTTATCGTTATTATTGTTGTTATTTGTTTTATTTTATATTAGGTTATGTATTCAACTAACACGTCCACTATAACATCATCATCATCACCACTGTCATCACCGCTGTCACCGTCACTGTCAATATCATCAACAAATTTTATAAACCAAGAATGGATTGAAAAGAAAGAAGAAATCAAAGTATCATTTATAGAACCATTTACAGTTTCTTATAGTATTGTTCCACAGATTGAAGAAATAAAGCATGAGAAAGATGCTACTAATTCTGAAAATTCTCCCGTCGTCATTAAAAGAATTGACCGACATCTTTTGACTGCAAAAATTACAAGCAATGGACCTTGGGACCTTTTAGTAACTGGAATTGATTTGGTTTTGGTAGATATTTACTATTCTTAAAAAAGTATTTCGTTTTTTTTTTTTTTAATCTGATTAGTAAATTTCATTACGTGTATATATTATTAGTTGGGTCAAGCGAATTCTCAAGCTAAAATTGAAATTATAGAATCAAAGAACAACGAGTTGGAAGATCAAAGTATTTATTTTTACAATTTCTCATTTTTAAGGAAAAAATTATGGTTTTAAAAATTTTTTTTTTGTTTTCTCTCTCCTGACAGTATGGAAAACTGGTCATAAACATCAGGTTAATTATTTATTAGAACTTACAATATTGGATTATATTTCTAATGATTATAATATCGATGTTGGATTACTTGACATTCAATGGAAAAGGTAATTGATTTAAGTTCCAAAGTTTTCATTTGTTCTTGTTAAGGATGAATGGAAGATTTACCAATAATTCTTATTTTTTTATTTTTAGAAAAGAACTCATTAAAAATATTTTTATTCCATATACTGAGACAACAATGATGACGCCACAAATAATAATTCCTAAAACTGATTTAACTGCGATACTAAGTAAAGCCTATGTTTTAAATAAAAGTTTTATTTTTAGAGAAAAACTTTATCATTAATAATAATTTATTTTTTCTTTATAACGTAAAATAATAGCAATTCCAAAAAAATCAATTGTCGGAAAAATATTCACTCTAACTTTAAAATTAATCAATTGGACCAACACTCAAATAAAAATAGATGTCATGGTTGAAGTAAATGACACATTTGTATTTTCAGGCTATAAACAGACCTATTTTAATGTTTCACCATTAGGTTCATACCTGTTCAAGGTTAACTGTTTTCCATTGGTACCTGGTAAAACGAAATTGCCAAAAATTAAAATGATCAAAAATAAAGTTGTCGATGATAATAATGCTCACGATGATGATGAAAATGATAATAATGGAAACAATAAAGAAATTCATATTATGGCACCTGGGTATAAAGAAATTTCAGAAGATGAATGGTTTTTTATATTTATTAAACCTAAAACTAAAATTTAGAAAATTGTATTTTTTAATTTTGTTTATAAACATTTATTCACAATAAAATATTTATTTAAGTAATCAAAAATCAATTTTAAAAGTTTATATTCGAGACTCCAAACGAATCAATGAAATTCAAATCATTCAATTTTCGTTCGAATCCAATACGAATTTGAACGAATCGTGTTTTGATTTGGTTCAAACCTAAAAATTTGCAATTTGAAATTTATTTGGATACAAAATTCTGATTGGCTAATTTGGATTTTCACGCGCGTGAATTTCAAATTCACCACGACAAAATTAAAGTCGAAAATATTTATCTAATGCAAATAATTGCATTTGGCTTTTTCATCCACAACTGTGAAACGTTTCACTTCTTGTTTCTTCTTTGAACACACTGTACTTGAAGAAATTCATCATTTTCAACAATGCAGCCATTTATTATTTATTACTTACAGTGAATTGTGCAACTGTAAATTATGTTCGTAATTAATGTTATTAATACAGGAATTTTAACATTTAAATTTTAAAAATATAAATTTAAAAAATATAAATATTATGTATTCGTAATACAAACTCTTATTCGAGAATCCCTCCTTATATTTAATATTAAATATATTTAAAAAATTTTAGAAATCTGGTTTTATTCGAGTCAAATCCAGTTTTTTTTTGAATTCGAATCAAGTCACTTTAAAATTCTACTCGATTCGAATTCTTTCAGAGCCTTAGCCAAATGCCAGAACTATTAAATGGTGCTACCTGAAAGTCATCTTTTAACTCTAGTAAATTAAATACTTTGACATTTCACGAAATTATAAAGGTAACATACTTTGATGACTAACAGCAAAAATACCTCGTAACAATTTACAATAAAGAAATAGAAAGAAATATATACCCACTTGGATATTAATATTATAAAGAAATTTCATTTTTAACCGTGTAACAAATAATAAATGATTCGTATAGTTTTGGTAATATACAATCATACCCCTTTTGTATTGGTACTTTTGTGTATTTTCGCGTGATGATTTTTAATTTAAAATTAAAATATCTTTAATTGTAGAATGAGTCAACATTATATTCTCTCAAAGAGTTTCACTACTTGTATTAATTCCAGTTTTTTTTTTAAAAAAAAAATAATTAATAACTATTTTTATCTTTTAGGGAAAGTGGGGTTTTTAATATTATTTTTATTATCCATTATTTTTTTCAATGAATTTGAGCAAAAAGGAAATTTATAAATTTATTTATGTTTTGTTTTTGAATAACACGTTATACCCAAGTCAAAACCAAGTTTTTTTATATGATACTTTGCCACAACTGTAAAAAAAAAGGGTAATTTCTTTTATGTCTTTTTGAAAATTCCACTTAAAAAAAAAAAATAATTGATAATTAATTTTGTTGTTAAAGGAATCAACCAAGTCTTTTTTGAAGATGCCACCAAGAAAATTGTAATTAATGCATAATGTAAATGTTGGGTTACTACCATGCACAAATAAGATTAAAGTTGGGATATAACAGCACCAAAAAATTTGGATAGGGATATAATTCAATTGGAATATAAACAAACTCTCGTTTGTGGGATTTAATTGAGGATGGGATATAAATAAGGGGGGTATAATAATAAATAGTAAAGGATCCTGTTACTACTATCTCACAACACAATCATTTCAAATAAAATTTACAAATTAGGAAGCCATACAAATAATGGAATCATTTAAATGAAAAAAGGCAAAAGGGAATTTCTTTATGTTAATTTACTTTGAAAGTTTACTACTGATTACACTAACCAAACCAACCCCATTAAAAATTTAAGAACAAGCATACATAAAGATATTAAATAAATCCAACCAGGCCTTTTTTCTTATCACACCAGTTTTTTTTGTGACAGTAGCCCTTGTACTTGGCAGAGAATTATGTTTAGACACAAAAAATTGTATCATTTAACTGTTAGTTGTTGTTTCTGAATTTGTCAATAAGTTGTCAATTGACAAACTGTGTTGGTCTTTTAGTCTCTTTTGATATTATTTACAATATATATATTTTGTGGTAATATTATAAATGTCCATTATTACATTCAATAGCATGATTGGACCATAACAATGTATCCGCTATATCCAGAATAACAGGTGGGTCATGAAAAACTTGATATCTTGAAAACTTCAATTGATAGTGATGACCATCACATAATTGTTTGGATTTGTGGTGGGTGACACAAAAAAAATTAATATATAGAAAAATCGTGGTCGAGCGAATATTTTTACAAGTTTGATTTTATCATTTGATTTTTTAAAACTAGTTTACTTTTTTAAAAAAATGAGCAAAGGCTTTTGGATGCTACAAAATATTCTGATGAGTCTGAAGACGATGGAGACAAATTCCAAACGACAACAGGGAGGGGAAGAGCATGAAGATGTTAGTGCAGAGTCGTCTTCTTTTATGGATGTCAGCAAACTAAAAGTAAAAGGATTAAAGGAAAAAGGAAGGGAGAAAGGAAAAGCGGCATTAACAAAAATAAATAACGTCGATAGTGATAATGGTCAATTATATTTATTCCTATTTATATATGTATACACACACATATATTTTCTATATATGCCTTTAAAAAAAAAAATTATATAGTTTAACAAAATTTTTTATATAGTAAGAGCTGGTTCTCGAAGATCAGCATCCAAAAACAGAATTGGCGACAAAAATAATATCAATGGTCATATTAGTGATAATAGTTCTAGAAGGAACAACAGTATAACTAATTCTCATGTCCCAGTAAGTTGTTGCAATGTAAAAAAAATTGCATCTATCCGTTTTATTTATTATTCTATAGATGGTTTGAATTATTAGTAAAAATTAAAAAACACAAAGGAGGAAGTTCTTTCAACAATTCAACTCCAAGTAAAGATATACTAATACTGATTAATTTTTTCCCGCCCTACAAGATAATCACCAACTTGAAAAATTCGATGTTCGTTATCATGATGGTAAAACAAACTATTGTCCAGTATATCGATTTAGTTAATGATTAGTCATAACATGCATATATGGTGTATTTATATAAAGACAAAAATTAATTGATTAAATGTTTTAAGACAAGAAAGAATCACAATCATTGGTTGAATTGGAATGGCGTACAACAAAAAAACAGGTCATGAGATTAGTTGTGTGAACTGGACAATTTGAGAAAAGACAAAAAGATGTCACAAAAAAAAAATATGTGATCAAAACAAATTGCTTCGAGAACAAATTGAAATAATTCATCGTTTGATTTATTCCCATTTGTCAAACATTTTCTTATTTAAATATTAGATCTTTCTTGCAAAATTGTTGATTATTAAAACTCGAACACTTGTGAAAATTAAAATGTATAATTTAAAATAAATATGCATGCATGATAAATAAACTTTAATGTTGTATTAAACATTTTTAATTAACTTAAAAATATAATAGGTTAATCTTTTATTTACAATTTAATTATTCACATTCCGCAAAATATACATACCCGATATATTACTGATTAACTCGGGATCTTTTTTTTCAATTAATTAATAATAACATTACGGGAAATTCCATTGTATATAATAGTAAACGAGAAACAACAATAAAAAGATTGATCATTAACGCGAATCCAAAAGTTTGATTGGTTGACTGTTTCTGTTTAGGGAATGATATACAAAATGGCCCCACATGATGAGTCAGGATTTCCTTTTTTGTATATAGTATACGGTCACATACATACAATGAGGCCTACGGTCTTGTATTCTGATATATCGTATGGACCTTACAAGTATAATAATTGGGTAGAAAAGATTCCCTAATGTTTTTGGAGAACTTGCCGAAAGATTTTGCGTTAAAGGATTTGGCTCTTTGTTTTAAAAAAAGGTTAAAGAATAATAATTGTGCCAAAAATTCTTTTTGTTGAAAAAGAAGTTGTTTTTTCCTGTTTTGAAGGATATGTAATGAAATAATTATTGTTTTGATAATGGATGGTAGTAACTGTCAATGTTGCTGCATTTTTGTTTTTCTGCATTAAAAATATAATAATTATTATAGATTTTGCTGCATCGTTGTGTAACCAATCAAAAATATCCCATATACCATATAATTTATGTTATTATCTATTACTATTACTATATTAATATTATGTTACGAAGAAATTTCAGGGATCAAAATCTAAACATCACTGATATAATGTGATTATCTAATATGCACATACGTTAGAGAAAAATATTACATTATAGTATTACGTACTAAAGACTTTATTAAGACACAATATATATATATATATTTGATTTGAATAAATAACCTTCTTTCCTTATTATATATATGTATTAGAATATTGTATAACAGATTTACTTGGTTTTACCACACTATAATCAACCCCGAGTTTGATAATCCATAGTGATGGGATATGTTTGGTTGATGAATACGACAGTTATTATCGAATGGAACCGAGATAATTCTATTATCTAAAATATGAGAACTTCTTTGTCGATTCAGTATCGATTTTCTTTTATTTATAATATGAAAACTTTATAATTGATTCTTGCAAAAAAATTATAGTTATTAAATACGAAAGATGAAAGTTTATCTATCTACACTCCTGGACAAAAGTTTTGGTCACCATAAAACAATTGATTGTACAAAAACATACATGATAAAAATATAAATAATTTCTTATCAAGTTCTCAAGAATATGTATGCGAAATTCCAAATTTTGTGACATCTAGGGAGAAAAAAATAAAAATAAAATTTTTTGGAAATGATCTTCCAAAATTTTGATTTTTGATTTTCTATTTGCATACGAATGTAAAACTCCTTACTATTATGGTTTTAGTTGAAACCTGTAAACCTGTATTTTCCATTAATTAGATTTCTTCAACTCATTCTTATGGTCAATGCTCATATATTTAGGGTGTTCATTTCTTGGTAACTCTTTAACACTATCTCTTCCTAGAAGCCTTTTAATTGTTTTAGTTACAGTTGTTCTTGCAAATCTAAATGTTTTAGAAATATGTGAAATAGTACTACCGTCTTTGTAAAAAGTCCAATACATCCCTCATTCCACGTCCAGATTCTGTTAAATTTGACATTTTAATTTTTTAATTTTGTGGAAAATTTCAAAAACTTCAAAACAATTTTTTAAAATAATAAACTCGTATATTCTTATACGAGTTATCTAATCCATCATATGTCAAGATAACATGCGTGGTTATTATGTAAGTTTCTGAGGAACTGGTTTTTTTTGGCAAACAATGATTTTTCAGAAGATTTTTGGTCAAACTTTTTATTTTTTTTTAACTAATCATTTCCTTTAACATGGTTTTGTGGTTTTCCCACTTTATTTATCTAAAGGAATAATAATAACAACTTTTCATGCAGGAATACGATATCCTTATCACTAATTGAGCATGGTAAAGGCCGACTAACGGTATTTTGACCCCTTCCATTTCACAATTATTATTATTTTATAAACAGTATTTTCAAAAGAAAAAAGCCAAAACCCCAAAATTAGAAAACCCAACCAAACAAACTAAGTCAAGACCAGTGTCGATAGTACAACTGTGAATTCTGAAAAAAAATTTTTAACCCTGAAATTTTGTCATGACACGTTGTCCAATAGTAGCTTTAAAAGGAAATGAAAAAATTCGCAATAATAATAATTAATAATAATAAACCCCGTATTTTAAAATGGGAAATTCTATATTATTAATATTTCAGGAATTAATTAATAGGAAGAGTTAAGATTAATAATTAATAAATTTTTGTTTCGAACATAAAAGAAACACAAACAAACAAACAAACAAGCATTCTTCTTCATTCTCTCGAATTTTTGGATTATAAATTGGTTTTTTTTAATTTAATCGATTTCAAATTACGAAATATTGATTACACAACTATCATACATTTTCGTGTAATTGATTTCTTTTTAATTTTGAGTAACTTTGTTTTTATTTAATAATAATTAAAATACATTTCGTAATCTCTTTTAATAGTTTCAAGATTATTATACCCGTGTACCAAGCCTTTTAAACAATCACGCATCAATCTTAAATGTGATTGGTAAATAATTATTAAGGATTTACTAACTATTATTGCGTTCATATTCGTGATAGTGATAGTGATATAAAGTATCAGTTCATTACTTAAATAAACATTATATAAATTTGTGTAAACTTACTATATTTTTTCTTTCTTTTTTATTTGAAAAAGATCCTTCTTTTACAATATCCAACTTTTACTTCCTTTTTTCAAACTTCCTTCTCTTTAAACAATATATGATCTTTACCTGATAACAGGAATGACTTTATTTAAGAGATCAACATCTACATTAAACAACAAGATTTACCCTCACCATTAAAACAAATTACATTCATAAAAAAAACAAAAACCCCCCCACTGTAATATATATATAATTACTTGTATATATATATACACATAAAATTAATGAGAATTGTTTATCAATTCAATTACTTGAACTTTGTAAATTTATAATAAAAATTAATTAAATAATTTTATCAACAAAAAAAATATTAAAACTTCTCACTAAATATGCCGCAAGATGAAAAAAATTCACATGGCCATCTTGATAGAAAAACAAGTGGTAGCAGTAACACTAGAAAAATTACCAGGTTTCTTGGTATTACTGATAATAGTATTGATGAAGCTAATATGTTGGACAAATCTTCAAAAGCAATTAAAATACTTGGATTAAATGATAGTGAATTAAATAAAAAATCTATATCATTGGATAAAGTAGTGTCTGAATTTAGAGGTAATAGTCGTAGCAATTCTTTAAATAGTGTCAGTAATGGCGTTGGCGGATCGGTTATAGTGGCGAGTATTCGTAAACATGTTGTTCATAAAGGATATTTGTCAAAACACACAAATACAAATTTTGTATTATCTAAATCATGGAAAAAACGATATTTCGTTCTAGCAAAAAGTATTCTTTATTGTTTCAAATCAAACGATGCAACATCTAACCTAATAGATAGTTTTGAATTGACATGCGATACTGTTGTATGTGTTAGTGATGTGTTCAGTGGTAAAGCGTGGATTTTAGAGGTTAGCAAACCAAATATAAAGGCTTGGTATTTACAAGCGGATAATGTAAAAGCGTTGAAATCTTGGTTGACGGAATTAAAATCTATTGTAGTAAAACTTAAATATAATGATACGGAATTACCCAGTAACATTAATTCAGCCACGTCTATAAATCTTATCAAAATCAACAGCAATGACAGTCATGGTTACAAAAATAATAGCGATACCAATAAATCCAAAAACCACATCAACATTATTAATAATATAAGCAATGGCAGCAATACTGGCATTAATAAAATTAATAATAGTAGCAATACTACTAGTGTTGTTAATAGTCCTATTAATGAATCATACAATGAAGAATTATTTTTCACACCTAAAACTTCTATTTCAAATACGTCATTCGTCCAAATAGAAAAAGGTGACGACAGTGACAAAGTCATACCAACAACACCATTACCGCCGCCACCAAGACACGGTATGATTATAACTCCTTTGTCACCAGCTCCTAGACCAAGGTCTCAATCATCGTCATCATCTTCACCTACCACAGATTTATCGTCATCACCTAGGCCATTATCTCCTTATATGATGATGTCAAATACAATGACAATTGACGAGGAAATGCCAAATAATGAAAATGAAAACAAACGATTACAATCGGACGAGCCAATTAAACGTCCTAGCTCCCCTATTGAATCATTATCACCTCCATTAAAAAAAATTGGCCAAGCAATTAGACAATTACCAAATTTGAATAATAGTACTAATAATAATAATAATAATAATTATAATTATAATTATAATGGTAATTTATCATCACCGACTACAATGACGACAATGACATTAGAACAAAGACGAAGACGAAGATCAAATTCTGCTGAATCTCTAGAAATCAATATTTTACCAAGTAGAAAGTACAACAACTACTACAACAATGACCATAACAATCAATCAATACCATCACCTAAAGGTTCAATTGGTAGTCATCATTCAGATTCAGATAAAAGAAATAGCACCAGGCAAAGTAATCCTATTGTAATGCCATCGTGGTCTGTTAAAACAACATCAACTAACATGATTCTTACTAGTGATAACAATAATAATAACAAAATCAATAGTAGTGATGAAAATAATAATATTATGCTAATGACACCTCTTTCACCTCCTCCACGTGCATCACCAAAATTTCAAAGACCTACTCTATCTGAAAGATCAATTAGTCAAGATGATAAATCTAGCAATACACAAATTGATAATAAGACATCAAGAAGATTATTGAGATTATCGTCGTTACCGAATAGCTATGAGACAACAACGATTCATGATGAAATCGTTTCGTTTGCCTCTCCGACTAATGATGATAATATACAACCACCACCACAAAAAACAAAAAAACGTAGAAATAAAAATAAAAACAAGCCAATCACTCAATCGTCAAGTCTTTTATCAACATCAGCATCTACATCATCACTCAATTCACTGAAAAGAATATCAATTACCGAAGAGGATGTAAAACTGAATAACATGTTAATAATGAAATCGCAATCACAATCATCATCATCAACATCATTGTCATCATCAACATCAACATCAACATCATCATCAACATCAACATCAACTAGATCATCACCACCTTCTCAGCCATCCCTAACACCATCAACACCATTAACGCCATCAACATCATATAGTAATTCAACGAGCTTACCACATCGTCTTCATTATAATCATCGATCAAGTTTTGTAGATTTTCCCAACAAACCAATTCCCCAATTACTGCCAGCACGTTCAAAATCACAACCTCATTACACCATATCTAAAAAATTTCTACGTCGACATTTTTCATTAACCACTGTGGACATAAAATCTTTACCGCCGCCTACACGTCCTCCAAATGTTCCATTGCCTCCAATTCCACAGAATCAACAAGAGTTAGACTCACAATCACAATCACAATCAGAATCGCAATCACGATTGCAGAATGAGTCAATAGCGGAAATTCAATCACAGCCACCACCATCATCGATATCAAAATCAACACCCAAAGAAACAAATAATGATTCATTAATTGATTCAAAAGAAAAATTTGCAACTAATTACACTGATGAAGATAATATTGATCCATATTACGCAAAAGAGTTGTCAGCTTCATTGAATAATAATAAAATAGAGAAAATAGTAGAAAATGAAGAAAATGAAGTTGAAAAGGTTTCTAGTTCAGAAACTCCTTATGATGATAATCAAAAAGATGATATTATAGAGGAAGATATTACTAAATTGCCAGCGTCTGAATTAACCTTTGTGGTTGTTGAGGAAACAAATGGTGATGGTGAAATAATATTAAATCTTCAGGATGTAAATGAGATAAATAGTAACAATAATGATGACAATGAGGATAGTAGCGGATCAGTCAAAAGAGTTATTAAAGATGATTTTGATGTCATTTCAGGAAAAGCTAATCACAATAATAATCTTCTCGTTACATGATCATCTTCAATGTAAATTTTTACATCTTAACATTTAATTTTACGCATTCAATTTTAATCATTTCATTTACATATACATAAATAATATATAAATGTGCGTGTGTTAATTTTTAATGTTTCTTTTGTATAAAATCATAGCTTATTGTATTATTGTATTAATATTTTTTGTTTAAAAATTATTTTATATTTATTTATTTTTTCATTACTCTAAAAAAAAATTACATTTACTCAGAAAATAAAATTATCAGCAAGTCTTTCTATATTTAATAACGACAAATCTAATAAAAATAATTTAAATAATGTATAATTTTTAATATTCTTCATAATCTGGTACAGTTGAGTCGTGGGATTCTAAAGGATAGTATATTATTAATATTGATTTTGTTAATAATAATCTTTAAATAAAAAATAAAATAAAAGTAATAATTAATTACCATTATGATTACAAATGATTGTTAGTTTGTTGGAATTTACAGGTTGAGGAAGATTTGTAAAGTTTAATAACCTGCTGGTGTAAATAGCATTTGGATGTATAATTGTCGTTATTGTTGAAGGATCAAATTCAATCTTATCCATTTTATCAAATGATTCTCTGATTGACTCTGTTTCACCGATTTCTTCACCAGAATATCTATGATGATTCTTTATGGTATTTATATCATCAAGTGACTTGTACCAATATTTGATAATTTCTCTGATTTTTTTTGCAGTTGGTCGGTTACTAGGATCAGCATCCATGCATCTGTACGCTAATTCGATATAAAATTTAGGAGTATTGTTGGAAAATCCAGGTCTCTCACCTTCACATATTTTAATTGCAAGATCTATATCATGTGCAATAGTACTAAATGGCCGTCGGCCTGTTGACACCACTGACATTAACACTCCAAAACTGTATATGTCAGATTCTGTTGTAAATGGTTTGCCATTTAGCACTTCTGGTGCAATATATGGCAGCACTCCACAAACATTATTCTTATTCGACGACAACGACGATGACGACGACGATGATGAGGTCTGATCAACTGGACAGGAGGATAATCCTAAATCTGCAATGAATGCAAAAACTTCCAGTAATATATTACCACTATGGAAATCATGATGTACGATATTTTTTGAGTGGATGCTTTGTAAACCATCAATTATATCCAAAAGGATTAAAATTTTCCTGGACCAATTTAAAGTTTTAAATTCTTTTGATAAATAATTATGAAGACTTCCATCTTTTATATAATCGATTATAAATATATATTCTTTTGTAGTCGGATCTTGTGTCAATCCATAAATATGAACTATTCTATGATTTTTTTTATAAAATTTAACATAATTTTTGAACTAAACAAAAAAAAAATTTTTTAAATGTGTGCGTGTGTGTAAGTGTATTTAATTATTAATAATAAATCTTTAAAAAAAAAAATAATTGAATAATAATTTTACCTCGCTTAAAAATTCTTTTGAAATATTTTGAGAATTATGCAGTTTTTTTAATGCTACAACTCTATCTTCACAACATCTTTTTCTGGTGTCAATATTTACATACCTACAACCATTAGTCCATGTAGCTTTGTACATAGTTGTAAAACCACCTTCGCCTATCTTTTCAACATCTTTTAATACTTTGTAAGGAACCCACTGAAGATAATTATCATTACGATAAATAGATGATTTGTGTTGAGTACTTTTAATTAATTCATCCAACATCTCATTACCACTAGTCCATCCTCGAGTTAGTAAATATGGATCACATGTTTGACACCATAAAACCGCAGTATTATATTTATTACAAGTTAAGCACTTGCCATACTCTTCTTTTCTTTTATCCGAATACCTATCAATCTTACTTGCTTTATCTTAAATTGATGTAGATTAAATTGTGCAATTTAAATAAATCAAATTAATAAAATTCAAAATTTCCAAAAAAAAAAAAAAAACACATCAAATGGTGAGTTTTTTTTTTGGGCAAATAGTATTGTTGTTGAATATTTACCAATTTTTTTAACTAAATGTTCATCATCATGAGTGTCGATAGAATTAATATTCTTTTCTTCTTCAGTTGAAGCCTTTTGATTTTTGAATAATTTTTTAATCTTATACATTTTTTATTTTTTTATTTTTTTTTTTAATAAAAAATTTTTTTTCCAATTTAAATAAAAATTTGATAAATGACTCCGCCATTTTGTGATGAATGAAGTCACAAGGCGCGAACAAGTTTTCCATTATTAATTGAATAAATGAATGTGTGTTACTTGATGTCGATGATCCTAAAAGGTGTTTATATTAATTATGAACTTTCGCCGCCGCCTAACATCCGTGTTGCGGCTCATAAATTAATGCTATTATCAAGCTTTATCCCGTTTGGGTTATCGTTATGTTGTATATAGTCGATACTGTTTGCCCTTTCATTTCAAGCAAAATATAAAATGTTTTGGCTTGATATTTTAAATTGGTATTTATATATGGTTGAATTTTCGATAGGTTCTCGGAAATAAAAATTAATAGTAATTTTCTAGAAGTTTAAAAAACAGTGCCCTTTTTGTCACACTCTACCTTTAATAAGAGGAAAACAAATGTTGTTATAAACGTTTGGTGGTCTTAAAGGCCTTTTTGAATAAAAATTTTGAGTTGTAGAATTATTATTATTTGTCATAGTAAAAAAAATATATATTATTTATATTTCAATTGAAACTATAGTTGGCTCGGTCTAAAGACCTCCTAAGTTTTGCATAAATTTTAAAAGTATAGAAGTCACTTTCTGTCCTATCTTTTAAAAAAATAACGTTATTAGTTGATAGAATAGGTCTTTAGT